ATCTCAAAAAAGAAAAAAAAAAAAAAGAAATTCATTATTTTTAATAACACTATTATTGCATTAAGAAATCAATTTCATTGTCATGACATATTTTAATGGAATAGGAAACATCATAGAAAATAAAGTGGCATGTCACCCATATTAAAATCGAGTATGAGTTTATGAAACTTTTCACAGAAGTGTGTGTGTTGTATGTGTGTGTGTCTACTGGATTATGATGTAAAATGTATTTCTGAGCATATCAGTCAAGAAATACTTCTCTCAGAAGTATTATATGTTAAATCTGGCTCTCCATATGAAATGGGCAGCTTTATTGGTGAAATTTTTTTTTTTTTGTATATTAGCAAGATATTTAGGGTGGCAGTGAGAACAGAGGCCCTTTTCATGGCCCCGAAATAACTACACCATGTAAGAGGCTGACAACATTATGGTGATGATGATGTGCTGGTCAGACTAGACCAGGCCTTAATGATAAGCACTTGCCATCTGTCAGGAAGGGGTGAGAAGTCACCTAAGGTAAAATGAATTCTGATGTAAACAAGGTTTGTCTTCAACATCCCCCCACCTCCTGTTTAAGGATCAGTCTTCTGACTGGGACCCTAGTAGCCTGTAGGCTCGAGTCATCAGGGCCATCTAATCGTCCATTCTAGAGCTTCCCTGCATGCAAGCCATTTATCCTCCAGGCCATTCCTCATCTCTTTCTCCTTTTCATCAAATGTATCTGCTATGCGTCCTATTCTATCAATGTTCGTTCACTACCAGGTCACATGAAACTGTAATTTGCTCGTCACTGTAAATAGATTTGCGGTATGTAAGATGGAGAGAGTATCTGAAATGAAACAATGACTCTAATGTTGAGACTATCAGCTTCCAGGGAAGCCTAGGGTGGAAAATAACTGGTGATGATGCCTCTAAGGTTAAGAAGCTATAAGGAATCCCCAAGTCCATCTGTATATTTGAGTACTTTCTAATGGTGCAGAGTTAGGCTTTGTGGAGATATAAAGAGGAAGACATGGCCCCTAGTCCCAGGAGTTTGCAATCAAGCAGGTGGGATGGTGAATTAGGCCATTCTTGCATTGCTATAAAACAAATACCCAAAGCTAGGTAATTTATAAAGAAAAGAGGTTTGATTGGTTCACAGTTCTGCAGGCTTTACAGGAAGAATGGTGCTGGCATCTCCTAGGCTTCTGGGGAGGCCTCAGGAAGCTTACAATCACGGCAGAAGGTGCAGTGGGAGCAGGCACGTTATATAGTGAGAACAGGAGCAAGAGAGATGGGGGAAGGAGGTGCCACACACTTTTAGACAACCAGATCTTGCCAGAACTCACTATGACGAGGCCAGCCCTAAGAAGATGGCATTAAATCATTCATGAGAAATCCACTCCCATGACCCAAACACCTCCCACCAGGCCCCACCTCCAACACTGGGGATCATGATTCAACATGAGGTTTCGAGGAGACAACACCCAAACTATATCAGATGGAGATCTTGGGTGCCAGGCACTTGCATCCACCACTTTAAATTACCTTATTTAATTGTGGTGGTGTCATCATCTAATTTTGCAGACAAGGAACCAAGGCTCAGAGGAGTAAACTATTTTTATCCAAGGTGAGTCCCTATCCAAGGGGCTGACCAGTGCCCCTCTTAGGACAGTAGCAAGTTGGAATAAAATTGGGCATGCCTAAGGTCTTTAAGGAACAGGGGATGCTTACTTCCTTTGCATTCCTTTGGCCACCTACATAGCATACTTAAGCGCCTTCTGGATAGACTGTGTCCTCTTATTCACATGCTGAAATTGTTATACATTTTTAACCAATAAGCGAATAATATATTTTTCTAAAAAGTAACTGATTTTTCTCTAGGTTCAGTATAGATAGCCAGCCATGGGAGTCAGAATTTGAACTCAGATCTGGTCTGGTTCTGAAGGCTCTGTTCTTTCCAGCTTTGAGACAAAGGAGCAAATGTGAGAAGCGCCTTTTACTCACTTCTGCTTGCCAGCAGAATTTCACAAAAGCCCCGGACTGTGAAGATGTGCAGTTCTTTGGAAAGATGCTTTGAAGACGAAACCTTTAACAGGGTTAGTGCCTAAGCCTCTGTAATCTACAACCAGATGCACTCTTATACCCAAGCCTTGATGGGATTCTGCTGCGATGTAACTTCTGAGCAAATTTGATGTGATTGTGCAGGTCCTGAAACTCCACTTCCTGTCTGTAAGCAGTGGACTGAAATCCTGGGCTGGAGCAGTCTCATAGGATCTCTCTGAAAGGCTGTTCCCAGGCTGTAGGCCTTGGTCTGTAGTCCACAGTAAGACTTCTGAATACAACTAACTTTGATTCTTTAAAAGCTTGACTGTTTTCTTTAGTCAGTATGGCATTCCATACCATTCCAGAAACAGAAGCCAGAGGGATATGCGGAGAGAGCGATGGCGTAGTGTGTGGAGCTGCTTAGCTGTTAACTAGCGGAGTTGAGAGAAGGCAGCCGGCCAAATGCCGTGGAGGGGCAAGGAAAAGCTTTTCAGAGAGCTGGGAAGTGGCACTCCAGTGAGTTCTGAAGCCATGAAGGATGACTTATTTATCCCGCAGTAGCTAGAAGAAGAAGAAGACGGGTCTTTCCAGGGAGTGTGACCAGTTTAAGCAAAGGCTTGGGAGCAGGAATAAAAATGTGCTGGGCCGGGCACGGTGGCTCACGCCTGTAATCCCGGCACTTTGGGAGGCTGAGGCGGGCAGATCACCAGGTCAGGAGATCGAGACCATCCTGGCTAACACGGTGAAACCCCGTCTCTAGTAAAAATACAAAAAATTAGCTGGGCGTGGTGGCGGGTGCCTGTATTCCCAGCTACTCGGGAGGCTGAGAAGGGAGAATGGCGTGAACCTGAGAGGCGGAACTTGCAGTGAGCCTAGATCCTGCCACTGCACTCCAGCCTGGGCTACAGAGCAAGACTCCATCTCAAAAAAAAAAAAAAAAAAATTGTGCTGGAAGTGGGAAAGGGGAGCTGGTGAAGGGACTAAAAGTTATTCCTTGTGGACCACCTTCTCATCACACGCTCTTTGACCTCATTGTAGTTCAATGGAAGGAAAGAGAGTCAAAAGCAGGAGGGAAGTTTCTCTCCAAGCGGACAGGGGCTCAGCAAACCCAGCCTTCCCCGCAGTCTTACCTGGAGCTATTGCCTGGGGAAGAGGGTGTTCAGGGCACAGTAGCCCAAGGCTGGGGGCACCTTTGGTCAGAAGCCCCTGTGGTGCTGCTCCTCGTGAGCCTCCTGGGAGGAAAGGCCAGGGAGTCAGGCGCTTCTCCCATCCCCTTCTGGAATCCTGGCCAGTTTCCATGTACATAACCCAGCTTAATCCATAGAAACAGGAGCTGCAAGGCATGTTCTTTCTCTTTTTTTCCTCTCCAAGACACGGAAACCTTTATTTTCTCCCTACACCACAAACCGGTACTGTTAAATAATATTGGATAATTGCACCTGTCGTACTCCCCATATTGTGCTGAGGAAAAATAATTGCTGGTTTTCTGCTTTGCCGTTTAGCTGTGACTCCGTCATTTGACTCGGAGCATGTCATTTTCTCCCATTTTAGACTGTGTACAGTCAAACCCTGTGAAAGGACTCACAGACAGCGGCCCTGCGTGTGTGAGTGGGCGCGGGCCTCATTCAGCAACGATTTCTAATTTATACAGCATTGAAAATCCACAGCTATAAATAAACAGTTCTGACTGGCTTTGCTGCCTACTCAAATGCTTTATTTAAAAAAAAAAAAAAAAGTCACCAGCAACTGCATGAGAAAGGAAAACAAGAATGTCTGGAGGTGGATTCTGGCTTCTGAATCCTGGGCTTGGGAGGGGGAACGCCCCACTTTGGGACCGGCTCAGTGCTCAGCCCCTCCAGTTTTTGGAAGGCCTGGCCTCCTCGCTCCTTGCTCAGCCCCTCACGCTCCCCACGTGTGGGTGCAATGTGTTTGGGGATTACAGTATATGAAACTGGCTTCCTGTTATGACAAGCATTGCAAGTGAGTAGGTGCGGAGGAACTGAAAATAGCTTAAGAAATGTAGGACCCTTCTGGGGAGAGAATGGGGTTAAGGCATTGTTTAGGCAACAAGACAAGTCTTCTACCCAAATTCAGAATTGGTTTCAAATATGAGACAGCAACACTGGAACAGAAGCACGAGTATAGGCCAGTCCCTGGGGTAGCGGTGGCAGTGTCCTTCCTCCTCCTGTAATGGGGACAGTTTCCACCAATTTGGGATCTCTTGACCACCTTCTTTTGTCCAGTTCTGCAAGATGTGGACATGTTTTTGTTTTGTTTTTTAAATAAAGGTTTTTGGATGACCCGGTACTGCTTTGCTCTGTAAGAAAGAGGAAGGAAACTGGGCTCAGGAGGCAACTATCTGTGTGACCTTGGAGTTGTCATTTCCCTGCTCCGAACGAGAGGTGTGCTGGAGCCAGTCTGCACAGGCTCTTGAGGACTGAGTGGTTGTGCACATCTCTTCCCAACTCTACATTCAGCAGCATGCTGCCAGCTTGAAAAAGGCCATGGTGAGAGTGTTTACACCATGGAAATGAGCACACGTTATCAATCAGAGCCTGACATCTTTTCCCCAGAGAGCTGGTTGTTAAACATTTCCCAGCACACCACCATCAGAAACTCAGTTTGCTCATTTGTAAAATGAGAACGTAACTCATCTCCTACTTACAAAGTTTCCGTGGGCTAAAATAAGTGAGAGTGGTGATAAATTACTTGACACTATACAAATATTGCTAGAATCATCATGTGGTTGCTATAGTTGTCATCTTCTATTAAGGGCCTAACATAGTGCTATGTAATTTGCAAATACCATGTGCCTTACAGTAAACGTTTAATCAGTGTGTTATTGTTTTGTTGTTGATCCTTTCTTAAGCCACTGCAGCACCCAGCATGCTCTTGTGTGCTTAGGTATGTGCTCAATGGGAAATGGTTCCGAGACATTTCTAGCATTGGAAGAGACACCGCACAATGGCCAGGCATGCTGTGATCAAGGTTTAATTTGGTCCTAGGCCCAGTAAATCCACAAATAGAAACTTGCAGGCTCGTCCCCACCAAGAGCTTACTGTGACTGCGAGTTTACGCAGCCCGAGTCACCTTTGGGGTGTGGAAAATTTGGGTGATCCCCCGAGGGCCTCACGTTTGGGGAATTTCCACTGTGGCAACTGCTTCTGAGCTCCTGCTGAGACCAGGTGCTTGGAGCAGTGAAGAGGCTGCAGAGATGTGGGGAAAGAGGTGGTATTCCCAGCTCCCTCTGGAAAAGACTTGAGGCCCATATTAACAGAACAGTAGAAAAAGAAGTGGGGATTAAGCAGGTTTCTTGGTGCCTGTCCTGGTCTTCCCTTGGGCTGCCTTCCTCCCTGAGATATTCTATCCTCTTCTGTAACACTTCAAGACCACTCTTGCTCATTTTTACCAAATTTTTCCTATATAATGTTAGGTTGGGAAGTCCAAGTGCAATTTTCTTCAGTGTCCACACCCCAACCCATATAAGCCTAGTGACATACTAGTAGACTCAAATATGTTTACCCACCAATAGACATTTGCCATTTGTGCCAGGAAAATAACACTAGGAAAATCACAGGAGGGATCATGAATCCTTGTTAAGCATCTGAAAATCAGCTTTGTTAAAACACACATTCATTCAGAAAAGTGTTTTGTAGCAAAGCAATCTCAACAGCTCTCATAATTCTATCACTTCCCATCCAGATTCTTCTGCAAGTAAAAGTATTAATACACCATTTATTTGATGAATTAATCAATGTTCAAATGGAGGAGGTTTTGACAATGTCACTAACACCTGCCCTGAATGCTTGCTTAGAAGAGAAACAGATTTCCCAGTATTTTTTATAACTTACTTTCCCATTGTCTCCAATTAATTTGCTATTATCCCAAGTAGACAGACAACTTCAGTAGTAGCCATTGCCCTACATTTTTAGATCATTGAAAAAAAATGGATGAGCAATCCATGAAAATAACTAGCTTACTGAAATGCTTGGTTTTTAAAGGAAAGTTGGGATTATTAAAAAAAAAAAAAAAGGCCCAGGACTGGTAGCTAGGAGATCCGGGAGACAGAAGCCATTGCCCTGGTTCTGACACTAAGTAACCCTTTTGCCTTGTGCAGGTAACTTCTCATTTAGGTCCTCAGCATCCTCCTCTGTAAACTGAAGAGTTTAAATGACTCTAAGTTCCTCTCTCTCTCTCTAGATGTTCTCTAACACCAAGTTTATGTGAGTTTCTTTGGCCAGGTTTTAACCAGAGACCATCCTCCATGAAGGTCAAAAGTCATCAATTCTGAGATGGCAGGAGTTGTTTTTGGCATGTGCAGTCAACCTTTCAAAAAACCAAGAGTTCTCATGTTAAGCTCCCTTCACGAACCTCTTATTAAATTTAAGTATCACTCTCTTTCCCTCCTGATTTCCTATGTTGCTCCACCACCTCCCTCCATCAGAAAAAAAAAAAAAAAAAAAAAAAAAGATGAGAAAAATCTCTTGTGTTTTCTTCCTTCTTGGTTCTTGGAAAACGGTGTGCAATCACTTCCTCTTCTTCCGTGGCTGCCTCATGTCACCTGTACAAACAAGAACAGAGACAGACCTCAGGCTTCAGGCTTTCCCTAATGGGTATTTTTGCTGTGGGTAAAGATTCACTCTGATTTGGGGCAATGGAAAGTCGAACACACTTTTCCCAAGGTGACAAGATACAGTTTAGGGAGTTATGAAAAATAGCTGCCATGACGACAGGGGCAGAGAACAACTCTGCCGTCCTCCCTCCGTGCTGGGTTCACAGTTAGCCAGGCACCCGTGATGCTGTTTGCCTTCAGGTGCTCTGCATAGCTAAGAGGAGGCATATTGCTGTGGTTCTGTGTGAGTGTTTGCAGGCTACACACAATCCATCAGCAAACTTTGAGACTTTGCAGATGGAGATGAAGAGACCACATCAAATTAGAGAGGAAATAGAAGGGTGGATGTTCACCTAATTGGGGTCATTCTGTGACCTCTTAGCAAACGAATTCATCAGCCTGGTGGAAAAGTACTGGCATATGGATTAGGTCTGAGTAAGCTCATTAGAGGGGCATTATTCTACTGAAATTATAGCATTAGATTTGTAGAATGACTTCTATTCAGCCAACAAGTTGGTACTCCATATTTAATGATCATAAATCTTTGTGTAAGCTCTGCAATTTATGAAATTTCATTAGCTCATTATCCTTTGCGCTTGTTGCCAAATACTATCAATCCTACTTTAAAAACTTCTCCATTCCAGAACTTAGAGCCCTGGTAGTTCTGGCTTGATATTCCTGTAGCAAATCCATGCTCCTAATTCCACAGTTCACCCTTCAGACCTTGCCACCTTCATCAATTCTATCCTTAACAGTAAACACTAGATATCTTATACTAATTCCATTCTGCTGGAACTCCACTTCTTAAAGGCTATCGTGACTGGTGACTTTTGAAGTCCTATTTGTGGCCCCTTAATCACACTGAGTTCCTAGGATGGCCACCTCTTGATCATGCAGTCCTCATAGCTATCCTTGTATTCATCTCATGCAAGATTTTCAAGATCAAAACTCTCTCTTCTTCATCTGCTTCTCATCAATCTAGACTACCCCAGTCATCAGCCAAGTCTTATTGTTTATCAAGCTTTATGGGTTTCACATTGTTTTCATTGGTGTGTCTACTTTTTTCTCTTCTGTTTTAATTTTTTTTTTTTTGAGACAAGGTCTTTGCCCAGGCTGTAATACGGTGTTGAACTCCTGGGCTGGAGTCCTCCAACTTCAGTCTCCTGACTAGTTGGGACTATAGGTACACATCACCATGCCCAGCTTTTTTTGTTTGTTTGTTTTTTGTTTTGCTTTTTTACTAGATACAAGGTTTCGCTATGTTGCTCAGGATGATCTTGAACTCCTGGCCTCACCATGAGAGATCCTCCCATCTCAGCCTCCCAGAATGCTAGGATTACAGGCAAGAGCCACCACCCTCAGCCTTATTTTCCATTTTTGATGTGAATTCTCTCCTCCCTAGTTAGGCCTTCTTCTCTACATTAGGTCTATACGTACAAGCACAGTACCACCTCTTTCTGTAGAGTATACTCTGGGCCTTTAATGAATTCTTTTTCAATTAAATAACCAGCTTACATACAACAGGGACAACATAAACTTGGTCCATATAAACTTCTCAAATTTCAACCCCTGGAGTCACTCTGAGGGTTCCTAAAACTTTCTTTTATCCGTGTCGTTTACCATTCCTCAGGCCCTCAAGCCTAACTGTAATCATAACCTCAGTCCTTCCACCCCAGGTGTCAAGGACTGAAGTCTCCCTTCTCCATTTAAGAAACGCAACAGAACCCGAAGGTCTGGAGAAAGGCCACCCAGGAGCGGACGTGGTGGCGTGAAGCTCTGCTGGGGGAGGAGAGCAGGTGGCTCCTTCCATTGGATTAGAGTCCTCTGTCCAAAACCAAGCAGCTAGGAGGAACACTAAGAAATGCCCACATACCCATCTACATGCTAAAGAGAACGGACTGTCCCCAAATGGGTCTCTGTGGTGCTCACAAAGTCATTTTATTCTGTAGGGACTCACACGGCGTGAACATTGCAAAAATCGTGTTTCTTTTCGCTTCTAGCAGCTGGGAATGGCGAGTGGGGCCTTAGTCTTGAATTCTCACAGAGCTAAGCAGTTTCTAGGCTTCTTTAAGTCTTTGGAATTTATCCCTGATGGTGCTTTTTTTTTTTTTTTTGAGACAGGGTCTTGCTGTCACCAGGCTGGAATGCAGTGGTGTGACCTTGGCTCACTGCAACCTCCGCTTCCCAGATTCAAGCGTTTCTGCCACCTCTTAGCCTCCCGAGTAGCCGGGACTACAGATGTGCGCCACCACACCTAGTTTTTTTTTTTTTTTTTTTTTTTTTTTTTTTTTTTGTATTTTTAGTAGAGACGGAGTTTTACCATGTTATCCAGGCTACTCTTGAACTCCTGAGCTCAAGTGATCCACCTGCCTCGGCCTCCCAAAGTGCTGGGATTACAGGTGTGAGCCACTGCGCCTGGCCCTCTGACCATGCTTCTATAATACATAGCTGGAAATAAGGAAACTGTTGACTTAATAATAGATCATATATCTTACCCAAACCAAATTCGCAAAATGGATTTTAAGTTGTAATTGGAAAATTATGTTTATTATAAATATTTTCTTGATTGAGAAGCATTTTTCCCAGTCAAAAGTATCCTAGTTGGCAGACAGTAAGTTAGATTCACCCTGACTTGTTTTATTCCTTTATCCTCTATCAGATAGTACCAAGGGCTAGAAATATTTTTATAACCCTGATATTTCGCCTGATATTCTTGACCACTTGGTGCTTGGCTGGTGACTTCCAATCAGGCCACTGGAAGCAGAGATTCCAGCTGTGTCTCAGTATTTCAGAAGCAGAGATTCCAACAGATTCTAGCTTCCATCTTTGCAAGATCTGAACATTTCCTGCAGGCATGGCCAAGAAACTATTGTTTCAATCAACATCACCGTCGGTACCATATATAATTATATACCTTATTATTCCAATAGTTAGAACTCAGGATAAATAAAAACATAGTATTCCCAAAGATTTACACCTATGTATCTACAACCACAGAAATGAATGCCAGGAATTGAAAATTTGAAGAACATTGGCCTGGTTTCAGTGGCCTGACTCAGAAAAGGGCAAGAAGGTTGATTAGCAGGCGTTAGAGAAATGAGGTCTGAGCACTGATAATCCTACGTTCACACTGCAGAAGTCCAGGGAGGAGAGGGAGCTGAGGGCTGGCTGGAGAAACCCCTATGGGAAACAGACTGAGGAAGAGGGAGGAATGGTAATCCAGAGCGGGCTCTTTTTGAGTTTAGGGAGATGAAGTTAGGACAAGAAAGGCAAAATGGAGATCAATTTTTGTCATTGACTAAATGCTGCCTCAGCAGGACCATGCTTTAAAGTACCTGTGGAGTCATTGCATGATAAAATTTTTCTGTTATGGAATAAGCAGAGTTAATAAGACAAATCTCATCCAATTCCTTCGTGAATAAAACAAAGAGGTGGGCTAGATGGCCTCTAGGCAGCTTTCATCAAGAAAATCTCCCTTTTAAAAAGCTGGTATATGGCAAATAATATTAAAAGCAAGCTTCAATATCATTCTTTCCGAGACACAATACCAGCGCCACTTAGCCAGGCTGGAATTTTCAGCTTACAATCTGTCCTTAGGATGAGAAGGACCTATGGTCTTAGGGGCCCTGACAAAGGACAGCCTGACCCGTGGCATGTGTCCATCAGGGGCATAGGGAGAGGGGTCGCAGGCCCTGGGTAAGCTGACTGTCTCTCCAGCCACCCCCACATAGCAGAGGCCCTGCCATTTGGGCCTAAGGTGCTTAGCCCCTTTCTGTGCCCCATATCTCTTGTAGGATGATCTTCTCTTCCCAAGGGGCTTGTGTCCTGGTGTCAGTATCCTTGAGTGCTGTCAATCATCCAGGGGGGAAAAAAAAAAAGAAAAAGAAAATTAAGCATGTAAGGGGCAGAGAAGGGAGCCTTTGATAGGATGTCCTGATTGCCTCTTGCCCCCAGTCAATATGGAAGAGAACCTGCCCCGGGCATGCCTGGGTGTTCAGTCATAGTCATGGTGAGCCAAGCTCACAATGTCCTGCCAGAGACAGCTTCTCCTGCCTGCTTCTATCATGGTTTGAAGTTAACATTCCATCTAACTCCTCCCAAAAAGTAGAAATTGAATCTTTCTGGGGGGATGACTGGTCCCAGTAACTGACTCTGTGCTTGCCCAACCCTCTGCCTCATGACACAGAAAGGCTAGCACAGGGCAGGGAGTGAGATGGTGACAGGTCAGGCCAGGGAGCCCTGTGGAACCTCTTGTGAGCTTTTTGACCCTCAGTGCATTCTTGAAGGACCTTCCTGTGGGCCACGACAACAACTGCCTCCCTGATGCTCAAAGCCAGTTCCCTGTCACTGCGCGCCCTGGGAGGACCTCATCATACACTTTCCAAGTTAACATGTGATTCTCAGTATTGTTTCCTATTGCTGTCCTTCTTGCTCTCCTGTCCATATTCACCCACTGATGTGGTACAGGAGGAGGGAGAAAGGGAGTAGATATTCAGCTATCGTGACTATCACCACCAACACCCTTCTCAGTCCAGCAGCCCACTCAGGACAGACCACACTGCACAAGGATGCCGTAGACAGAATTATCCGCACTGGGAAGAGACCAGGGTCCTGAGATGTAATAGAGTCTTGTCCTCACACCAGCAGCATCGGTATGTCTGGAGTATGCGTTAGAAGGGCAGAATCTCAAACTGCACCCCAGATCCACTAAACCAGAATCCACACTTTAACAAGATCTCCGGGTTCCCCAAGAGCCTCATTTTGATGAGAATCAGTGGCCCAGGTTTGAGAAGCAAAGCTCTGTAACGGCGGCTCTGGATCCTGATTGCAAGTTAAAATAACTGGGAAGCTTTAAAAAATACCCATGTCAAGTCACCATCTCTAGAGATATGGATCTAATTGGTCTAAGGTGGGCCTGAGAATTATTATTTTTCAAACTCCCCTAGTGTTTCTGTGATGTAAAAAGCCAAGGTAGAGAACTACTGCTAGAGAGATCCTGTCACATTGAATGACTCTTGACTGATACTTCGCCTGATATTCTTGACCACGTGGTGCTTGGCTGGTGACTTCCAATCGGGCCACTGGAAGCAGAGATTCCAATTCTGTCTCAGGATTTCAGAAGCAGAGATTCCAACAGATTCTAGCCTCCAATAGCCTGACCTCCTATTCGCTGTAAGTACCTGAGGACGTACTTCATCTCTGTCCATCTGCTGTCAGGTAGCTGTTACCTTTATTCACTTTCAGCTGGGAAACTGGTAATTTATACATCAACTCGAAGGGGAGAACGAGGGAGAATAAGAAGACCAGCAGCAGTGACTAACGCTGTATGCCAGGTCCTGCTGTAGGCGCTAGATCCTCAGCAAGTCATCTGAGGTTCTCCGTGAGCCCAGGAGGAGGTCACCAGCATTATTTCCACTAGGACAAGAGAAAGCTGGGGCACAGAGACCTTTAGTGACTTACTCAGTCTCACAGGTACAAGTGGCAGGGCCAAGATAGAAACTGAGGCAGTTTGGCATCAGAACTTTTCTTCTAACCACAGCCCCCAACTGCCTCCCTGAAGCATTCGTTTGAATTTCTGCTCTCACTGAAGGGGGCTCAGGCTATGGAAGGAGAGAAAACATAGCTTAGCTCTGGCTTTGGACAGAATATGTGGCTATCTATGTTTCCAGAACCGAAGATCTGGAGAAAGGCTCCCAGGTAGGGGAACCAGAGAGCGGAGTGCCCAAGCCAAGATGACATCAAACTTTATGAACACTGGCCCAGCAGGCACAGACAGGGACCATCTCAGGCCTCCTGGGCTTGGTGGCCACTCTACTTAGAGGCTGCCTGATCACGGAGGAACTGAAGTGCATTGCCATAGGATACGTGGTTGGTTTGCGGCCAGATGAGGGACATACCCTGGCTTTCTTGATTCCTACTCCAGTGCTCTTTCCCCTGTTTAATACTTTCTGCCCTAACATGCATGTCTTCAGCAACTCTCTAACTGGTACACCTGGTCGTCACCCTCCTATACTCCTTAAACTCCCCGCCCAATACTCTACAGTCATTAGAGTCACTCCTTATCTGCCATCTCCAGAACACCTTTGCAAAAAGTTCTACTTTACACCTTGGGAAAAAAGTCCTTGGATATCCTATTGTCTGCACTGATTGATGCAATGAGAAAGCTAATGCAAATGAGGGATTTTAAGATGAACAAGACATATCCCTAATCCGTAAGACACCTGAGGTCTAGTGGAAAAACAAATCCCTAAAGCAGTCATGATAAAGTGGTAAGTCTAGTGATTGGGAGATAAAGGGGGATGCACTGGGAAGGACATGAAGTCCAACCTGGGCTGACCAGGGAAGGCTTCCTGGAAGAGGTGAGTGTTGAAATGAATGAATATGAGCCAGGCAAAGACTGAAGGATAGGAGACACAGAATCCCATGGACATAAGAAACAACATCAATGTGGAGGGAAAACCAGCAGTTTGGTGCCACTGGGGCACAAATATAGAAGAGCAAAAGCCAAAGCAGGGACTGGGTCACAGAGGCCCTTGTGTGTCATTCCAAGGGTGTGGATTTTCTTCAGTAAATTGAGGAAAGCCTTAAAGTGTTTTCAGTAGAATAGGACATGGGGAAATGTGTTCACATAGGTTGTTTAGCTTTCAGCAATGTAAAAGTGTTCACTGCATTGCAACTTTAACAAATCTAATTTTTCTTTTAATTCTTATTAAATCATTCATAATTAATAAAGATCTGTTCAAGATTTAATACATTTATGATCTTATTCTGATGTTAAATAGGACCTTTTACTCATTCTCTTCTTTAAAAAGTTACAAATCTAGAAAGAGCTCGAGAGATGAGCACAGTCATTTACAATTGTCTCTTTCACTTACGTGAAAACTTGCATGCACAGGAGGTAATTGAGGGACTATATGTTGATGCCGGCTTATCTATTTATTGGGACTTAATTATAGTTAAAAATTGGATGCAGTCCTTAAACAATGAGGCTTGTTAAGCACTTTGTGTTGAGAATAGTAATTTCAATAATAACAAATATGATGATAATTTTGTTTTTTAGTTCAATAGATGTTTAAAATTCACCGTAGAGTAACAATTTAAAAATTAACTCAATACATTATTGAACTCAATACATTATTGAACAATTGATTTTAAAAGTTGTTGTTCTCTAAGCTCTAAGTAATCAAGTTTTTCTCTGTACTTCTAATATCTTAAAGCTTCTTTAAATATATATATATATATATATATATAGAGAGAGAGAGAGAGAGAGATTTGGGGAAGGCATCAGAAATCTTTACCCAGAACTTCAAGGAGCCAAAACTAGTTAGAATTATATGTCAACACATCTGAAATGTCAACACATTTTTTTTTTTTTTGGCGATAATTTTCTGTGATTTGGAATCCTGATTGGGAAGTAATTTTTAGTATTCCATTTTTTTAAGTGTTTGCTTTCAAAGAGAATTTTGCCCTTGAGAGTTTCTTAAACTAGTCAAATTCTCCAAGAGTAGAAAACACGTGATACATCCAAGTTGCATGCTTATTTCTCCAGGGTCTCAGCTTCCTCTCAGAAACACACACTCTGGTACTGAACCTTCTGAAACTGTCAGGTTTTTTTGCATACACGGGCTTATGTTTTCACACCAGTTCATAGATTGGGCGGAAGATGGCACTTCTGCCATCTCTATTTTGATAGAACAGAATGGCATGTGGGCGAGTGATGTGGGGGATTGGGTGTGACTCTTTGCCTTCCTTATATACAGAATCAGGGTAGAGTTCCTGCGCTTCTCCTGGGGTAGGGAAATAAGTCATGGGTGTTTTGCAGCCTGACTTTCTGGTAGTTACTTTTCCAACAATAAAAAAATATTCTGGGGTGGGGTGGGGAGAGAGGAAGCAGGAAGGAGAATGAAATCTTCCATTTCAAAAGTAACTAAGATGATTTTTTTTTTCTTAGGAAGAAGCAACAGGATTCTACCCACCTATAATGAGAAAGTTTAACTTACTGACATATTCTCATGGCTGAAGACTCTGTCTGAATGAGGATTTCAGTCTCAAGTCTAGGATGTGATTTCATCTGGTAAATGTCTTATGGAAGGCTGAGGAGCAGCCTAATGAGGCACTGCTGAGGTGGGAGGAGGTGGGAGGAGCTGAGAGGACTATCTGGACTTACTTCCTTCAGAATGAAATCTTAATATTTTCAAAGCTTGTGTCCCTGGAACCCTCACTTGGATTAGGGGGAGACCCCTGATTTTATTTATTCATGCTAGGGATGGTAATACCTTGTTCTCTAGGTCCCGGGCTTTCTAAAGAAGATTTTTTTCAGCTTTAAAGTTAAATGATGCATTGTTTGGGGGAGGAGAGGAGATCCTTTGATGAGGTCCTTTAAAAGAGTACCTCACCCCCAACGCTGTCCTCTTGCCTGCCTTGGCACAAACTGTCTGAGTCCTTTGGACAAAGATAGTAAGCATCATTGCTTCTGTTTGGGGTTAGTTTTTCTTTCTGTTTCCAGGTGAAGTGGAGACGCGGGCACGGAAGAAGCGCATCTGTAGCTAAGAAAGAAATCCACTGACCCCATTTCCAGTGGTTGAGCTTCTCTCCAAGTAGGTAGATGCTGGCGATGAAGATGTGGCTGAGAGAGAAGAAAGCTGCTAGACCCACGGGGCTGAGTTTGGCAAACACAGGATACACCCAGGTACCTGTCTCAAAGTAGAGCCTCAGGATGCTGCAGGAAATAAGAAATCATGCTGATTAGAGCAGGAGGAGAAAAACAAGCCATTTTCTCATCAAGATCAATGAGGTACTGGAACCTAGGCAGGGGGAAAGAATCCATATCAGGGACATTTGTCAACAGCTGTAGTATTCCCACAAACCAAAGTAAGTGAGGCTTTTCTGGGTAAATCAGCTTGATTCCATAAGACATGCTGTTTGATGGGCTGGGCTGGGTTGTTTTACCTAACCCATTAACATTCAACATTGGTGAAAAAATAGAAGAGAACATAGGGTTGGGCACCGTGGCTCCCACCTGTAATCTGAGCACTTGGGGAGGCTGAGACAAATGGATCACCTGAAGTCAGGAGTTCAAGACAAGCCTGGCCAACATGATGAAACCCTGTCTCTACTAAAAATACAAAAAATTAACTGGGAATGGTGGCTCGGGCCTGTAGTCCCAGCTGCTTGGGAGGCTGAGGCAGGAGAATCACTTGAACCTGGGAGGAAGAGGTCGCAGTGAGCCAAGATCATGCCACTGCACTTCAGCCTGGGGGACAAGAGTGAAACTTCATCTCAAAAAAAAAGAAAAAAAAAAGAGAGCGAGAACATAGAACACATTGTTAGCTAAAGGGAGTATGTGGGAACATGAATGATCCCTTTCCTTGAGAGGTATGGCCTTCTGAGACATCAAACCTGCTATTAAGGAATTCATTTTGCTGGCTCTGAGCAAGAGAAGTGGGGTTTGCTTTTTTGGATCTAAGAATCAGGTGCAGCTTTCCATTAGCTCTCCAAGTCTGCTGGGTTGAGGGAGCAGAGACGGAGCGTTATTGCCCTAATACAACATGCCTAGGATTTAACTGTTGGCCCTGATTTTCACTCATGCATATAGTCATAAATAGAGTGTTAAGCAGGAATGCATGGATTTGCAGGGAGACTCAGATCTTGCTTATGTGAGGATAGGCTGTAAGTCATTTCTGGAAGCCAAGAGAAGAAAAAGAAATGCTAGGAGAAGAGCCATGATGTCTAAGTGAAGCCTAAAAATGCAGTTTGCTGGAAACCAACTGCACTGGAAGGTGCCAAAGTCTGAAATAACTTTTAAAAATTAAATGTGGGGAAGCTGATGCATCAGCTACAGTTCCTCATTGGTTAGGAGCACAGAATCTGAAACCGGGCTTCTGTGATTCAAATCCTAGCTCTGCCACCTAGTAGCTATGTTACCTCCAGCAATTTCGTCAACCTTTCTGTCCCCATCCCCTCAACGTGTAAAGTGAAGATCCAAATAGCATACACCTTCTAAGGCTGTTGTAAGGATTGCAGGAGTTAACACATGTAAAGGATACAGAACAGTGCTTGGCATATTGTAATATTTGACAAGAGTTCAAAAGCTTCCGTCTCCACTGAGGGATGGCACAATGGGAGTGCTCTCAGAAAACCTTCTTTGAAGCTGCTGATCTCTTGTAACAATTAGGATAGGCCGGGTTATGCTTCAAAAACAACTTTTAAATTTGAATCTCCCGTGTTGTCAAAGGAATTCAGATGGAAGAATGAAATTCTGTGCTTAAACTTTCAGAAACCCAAGGGTGATCTCTGTCATTTCAAATACTTGAAGTTTATGAAATGTTTTGTGGAAGAGGCAAGGGCTATATTCAGGGCCAGGAGTAGGGTGAAGCAAGAGAGGCCCTAGGGTGTAAAATTTAAGGGATTATCTCTGTGCATTAAAGGACGCAATAAACAGTGTGAAAAGGCAATCCATGGAATGGGAAACAATATTTCTAATAAGGGGTTAATATCCAAAATATGTAAAATATTCCTGTAACTCAACAATAACAACAAACCCAAATAACCCAATTAAAAATGGACAAAGGACTTGAATAGACATTTTACAGAGAAGATACATGAAAGGCCAACAAATGCATGAAAGAATGTTCAACATCACTAATAACTAGAAGAAATGCAAATCAAAATGACAGTGAGATATTGTCTTACACTCATTGGGATGGATACTATATTTTTTTTTTTAAAAAAAGACAAGATAACAAGTGTTAGTAAGGACAGAGAGAAATTGGAACTCTTGTTCATTGTTGGTAGGAATGGAAGATGGTACATCTGCCTTGGAAAACTATATGGTGGTTCCCCCCAAAATTAAAATAGAATTACCATCTGATCCAACAATTCCACTTCTGGGTACACACCCAAAAGAACTGAAAACATGGCTAACACAGTGAATCCCCATCTCTACTAAATATACAAAAAATTAGCCAGGCATGGTGGCGGGCAACCTGTAGTCCCAGCTACTTGGGAGGCTGAGGCAGGAGAATGGTGTGAACCTGGAGGCAGAGCTTGCAGTGAGCAGAGATCACGCCACTGCACTCAAGCCACTCCAGCCTGGGCAACAGAGCGAGACTCTCTCTCAAAAAAGAAAAAAAAGAATTGAAAACAAGGATCTGAAGAGACATTTGTACACCCATGTTTATAGCAGCATTATTCACAATAGCCTAAAAGTGGAAGCTACCCACTGATAGATGAATGGATACATAAAATGTGGCCTATACATAGGCATTAAGAATGAAGAAAATTCTGATGCATTCTACCACACAGATCAACTTTGAAGACATTTTATGCTAAGTGAAATAAACCAGTTGTAAAAAGACAAATACTGCATAATTCCATTTACATGAGAAACCTAGAAGGTCAAATTCATAAAGGGAGAAAGCAGAATGGTGCTTGCCATGTGGTTGGGGGAGGAGGCAGTGGGGAATGCAATGGTTTCAATATGGTTTGTTTGTTCCTACCGAAACTCATGTTGAAATTTGGTCCTGTGTGTGTTGGTGTCGGGAGTGGGAGCCTAGTGGGAGGTGTTTGGGTCATGAGGATGGATCTCCTGAGAATGGTTTGATGCTGTTCTTGTGACAGTAAGCTCTAGAAATGGATTTTTCCCATGAGAATGGCTTGTTATAAATCTAGGATGGCCCTCGGGTTTTGCCCTTTTCACACATGTCCATTTCCCCTTTGACCGTCTCTGCCACATTGTGAGGCAGCAGTGATGCCCTTACCAGGAGCCAGGGCCATGCCCTTGAACTTCTCAGAATATGAGCTAAATAAACTTCTTTTCTTTATAAATTACCCAATATCTGAAATTCTTTTACAGGAACACAAAATGGACTAAGCCAGGGAGCTATTGTTTAACGGGTAGACTTTCAGTTTGGGAAGATGTCAAAGTTCTGGAGACGGACGGTGGTGATGGAGGCACAACAAGGTAAATGTACAACATGCTACAGAGCTTAAAAATGATCAAAATGGTAAGTCACTTAAAATGGTTAAAATTGTAAATGTTGTGTACCTTTTACCACACTTTAAATGTATCTAGGGAGGTGTCAATTTTAGGGTCATATAAATGTAGGGTTGGCATTGAGTTCCTCGCCTGGGCCCTGCTGGTATCACTCTGCTTTCCCAAACTTGTCTGGATGTTCCTCCCAGATTGAGAATGAGGTGACTAGAACAAACAATAATTATCATCATTATTACTAATATTAGAATTCTTTTTTTTTTTAGACGGAGTCTCGCTCTGTCCCTCAGGCTGGAGTGCAGTGGTGCAATCTCGGCTCACTGCAACCACCGCTTCCTGGGTTCAAGTATTCTCCTGCCTTGCCCACCACTTCCTGGGTTCAAGTGATTCTCCTGCCTTGCCCTCCTGAGTAGCTGGGATTACAGGCATGTGCCACCATGCCCAGCTAATTTTTGTATTTTTAGTAGAGACAGGCTTTCACCATGTTGGTAAGGATAGTCTCAAACTCCTGATCTTGTGATCCGCCCGCCTCGGCCTCCCAAAGTGCTGGGATTACAAGTGTGAGCCACTGCACCTGGCCTAGAATTCTTTAAGATATGCATTCCATGGATGCATTACAGGATACCCACAGTGATTCTTACCTGCATGGCGACTTCTCATGGCAGAACAAAGAAGGTATATAGCATAGAAAATAAATAGTTTGAAGTAGATAGGGCTAGGAGTTTGGAGTCAGTGAGGAGTTCTGAATATACCCCAAACAAGTTGCATCACTTAGTTCACTTTGTTTACTTTATATCCTTGAAGTTAGAGCTTCTAAATTCCCATGCACATTTATGTAAGATAGTCTATAAATAAGGACATCCCTCCAGAGGCTTGGAAAATTTCTGTTTACTTCATGTTTGTTTCCTTCAGCATAAGGCTTGTAAGGGAAAGTTCCCGCGGTAAGCTAATGAATTGTGTACTTTCATAGAGAAAGTGCAAGGAAAGTTATAGGTGTGGTACCTGATAGTGGGAAAGTAACAGAGATACAGAGTATGAGGCAAGATGACAGTAATTTACCAAGGGTACTCAGCAGAGAGGCACGAGTGAGGACAGAGTCACACTGTTAGTTGACATCACTTCTTTATGGCTTGCCTGAATATGAGGGGAAGGTGGGAAGAGAGAGGGGAACGAAGAAGAAAGAAAGGAAGGCAGGAAGGAAGGGAGGGAGGGAGGGAAGGAGAAAAGGAGGGAGGAGAGAAGGAGGGAGGAGGGAGGGAGGGAGGGAGGAAACTTTGCATTCAACATGTCTTCTATTTCAGTCAATGTCAGCCCTCCCTTCAATCTTGCCCCCACATTTGAGCCCATGAAATCATATCTATACTAAACTTCCTTATAAATGTTTCCTCAGTCCCCCCATTTCACAATCTTCCTTCAGCCTCCTTCATTCCATCTGGGTTTCTGTCACTGTCTACCAACTAGGCTTTCTTGCTCTTTTCAACCCACTTCCCCTACTGCAAGCCACCAGTAATCCGGTAATCTTTCTAAAAGTGGTCTCTGTCCACAGCCCTTGCCTGTCTGCAGTGAATCCCAGGATCCTAGCTGCTTACCCCAGCCGACCTGGCCTGGCCGTGCCCACCCTCCATCCGTAGATCTGCGGTCCCTCCATATTGAACCCCTTTGTTTCTTGAATGAACTGAGCTCTGCAGTTTCTTGGCTTTCACACCTGCTGTTGTCTTTGCTGACCT